CCAAGAACGAAAAAGATGAAAGAAGTAGAAGTTGAAAGGACCCCATCCCCAATTCCTCGCCCACTTCCTTTTTGTTTTCTATGTCGTCCAGAGGCATTAATCAAACCCTATTTCGATGTTCAATTTTCCTCCCATTCCACCTCTCTTGTTCCTAAAAAAATACAAATAAAAAATATATAATTAAATTCCTTTTTTTTCTTTTTTTTCCTTTTATAAAAAGGATACGATAGTAGATTTTTTTTCTTTAGTGATATGATAGTAGATTCTCCTTTCCCTCCCACCGATGTGGGATAATGAGATTCCAACACACCTTCGTACGTGAGACCCTATTTTATGAGTCACACGTGGAGATCCACACATTGATAACCACCAAATCACATGCGGGGCCAAACGAGGATCCACCAAATTACATGGTAACTTTGGCCTATGTGGAGCCATGTCAGGACTTACCGATCATGTGAGGCCAAAGAGGACCCATCCAATCACGTGGCAGTACGAGCTCGTCCCCTTACTCTGATACCATATAGAATTTTTCAGGTCGACGGGCTGATGGCCCAATAACACCGATACTGTCCCTACTTTACCACCTACCTAATCCGTTAGGTGTGAAGTTTTATCACAAAAGACCTCGGTATTAGTTAGAGTGAGTAATTATATTTAAATTGCTTTTCTCTTTTCCCTCTAACCAATGTGGGATAATGGGATTCCAACAATTTTCTTCGCGATTCCTCATGCAATCTTAGGAGGATATGTAGAGCTTCGGTTCTATGTTCACACCACCACCTTTCGGCTCTCGTGTTCGCACCACCACCTTTGTTGGCCCGTGTTGGTCTTTCCCCCTGTTCGCCTTTGTTGGCGATGTTGGCCGTGAGATTTGTCTTCCTGCAATCTTCCTTTAGCTACAGAGTCTGTAGCTTCTTTAATATGCGGCGACGATCGTTGTTGTGGTGGTCTCGGAAGGATGCAGCAACCTTTCTCTTAATTAGATCTGGGGTTTGTGTTGGTGTGATTGCAGGACATCGAAGGGGGCGACTGATCGGGTTGCTCGTGGCATGGAGGGAGAAGTATGCGGCGGCAGTGAGGGCTACAAGTACTGTAGCTGTGTTAGGGTTTTTCTGTTTGGTTTTTCATTTATTTATTTATTTTTATGCTGGCTTCAAAACTGTTTTTGGGCCATTTTGTGTTTTATGGTCCATCTTCTTTTTGTATTTTTCTTCTATGTGAACCTTTTGTTTTGTTATTAATGCTGTTGGTAATAAATTTATTCTTTGGCCAAAAAATAAAAAAAATCCACGTTCACGCACACACACCCAAAAGCCTCCTTCAGGGATTCCTGGAAGTTCATCTCTCCATCCAAATACACACCAACATAACCTACTTTATTTATTCTCTCTCTCTCTATCTCTCTCTTTCAAAGTCTTGCACAAAATTCTCTCTCTTTCTCTTCAAAGTCTTGCACAAAATTCGAAAACAACAGTCTGCAAAGCTTGACTTTGCTTGCTTTATTCCTTCCTCTCTCACCTCTCATCTCACGTGTCCGTACAAATCAACTTTGACTTCTTTGTCCTCCTATGGTAATGTTCTTGATTTCTCATTCGAAGTTGTAATAAAAAATGATTTGAAATTTTTGAATTTTAATTAAAATGATGAAAATATATTGTAAATGAATAGGAGCTGAAGTGATTTTTTAGAGTAAAAATATTATTTTCGTTAAAAATAAACAATACTAAAAATGTTTCGTTAAAACTATCTTAAATCTATGCCCTTGTGATCCATGCTCCGAGGCAGACCAAATGAAGAGTACGAATAGGATAATGAATTGTTTTTTTTTTTTTTTAGTAAGGTTTAAACTAAATCACAAAATGTGTCAACAATAATTTAGTATAAAATTTGTTATTTACGGTAATTTAGTATAAAAATGTATCACTCGGCTGTAGTGCAAAATAAAGTAATGGATGGTTAAGATCGTAAGAGATGTAGGATGTGGTTTTGTCAGATTATTTATTTTATTTTATTTTATAAAGAAGTGATATTATCTACACTAAGAGGAAATGAGTAGGCTTAGCCTCACAATGGGTAAACAATAATTTGGTTCAAATTCTCTTTTCAAGACAATCGAACATAAAACCTCTTACTTACAAGTGAAGAGAAATACAAGTAGACCGTAGTATTGAGTGGCTGGTTCAGTCAATTATAACCACAAAACATCATCACTTGGAGCATCATTAATGAAAGATGCAAAATGTCTTAGAACATGCATTGTACATTTTTTGTTAGTCAGAAATTTCTCTAATGCACAAGATGTAAAATACTCATCTCATCAAAGAAATGTGAATTTACATCTTCATAGAGCAGACCCCACTAGTCAGAATACCACTTTTTTTTTTTTTTTGAACAATCAATATTATCTACACTAAGAGAAGGGAGTGGCTTAGCCTCACAATGGACTAGCAATAATGTGGTTCAAATTCGCATTTGATAAGAATCGAACCTAAAACCTCTCACTTACAAGTGAATAGGAATACCACTAGACCGTAGTACTAAGTGGCGTTAGAATACCAAGTTAATATTTGTAGAATTTATATTTACATTTCTTGAAAACGTTAAAAATGAGATGTTAATGTGACTTTCACGTTTTAAATTTGCATGTCTAGAGTCGGAGTTGGCCAAATCCTTGTCATCCACCATCCAAAATTTGAAAAAAATTATTTGATCCATCTTGTATTCCATCCATCCATCTAGCACCGGTGTTGACCTCAAACTATTGGTCATTCTCCACAAATCATATAGTTTTATCTTTACACGTTACGAAACCTTGAGACTTGTAATTGTGTGCATGATTGGATAATTTAAAAATAAAAAAAAGTTTAATTGGATAACCTCCTTAATTTTAGGTATAGATAATTGTGTGCATGATTAAATCACATTATTGCTAGCTAATTGTGACGTTAAGTTCATCCTCCTTTCTGTTACGGTAGATAATATCTTTTGTTAAATTAAAAAAAGTCATAGCCTAGACAATTGAAAAAAAAAATTGTTCATTAATTAATTGAAAGTAATCATACTTGTTACTTGGTCTACTACTTCATGTGAAGTTTATAATATGGTTAAATAATAGAGTTGATGTGTTTTACGTTTATGATATACTAAAAAGGAAAAATATAAGATGGTACTATCCACACATCCACATTTCTTGTTAACTCGTATATTTTTTTATTGTTTTCAATTCATTTAATTTGACACCCATAAATTGAGAATGATGTGTCTAGCACTATACAAAATATATACATATGTTTTAATATGAGTAACCACATGCGATTTTCTTTGAGTTACCTGCATCGACATGCTTACTTACATACTCTATCAACGTTTAATATGTCGTAATGAAATCTTGTTTGTACTTAATAACAAAAAAAATCATGTAGTAAGCATGACCGTATTAAAACTTTGTCAGAGCTCCAACTCGATTGAAAGAAAAAGAGTACAAACAATTGTAGGTGTATCCACAAAGACTTGCAGATCTACAAACCTTAATTAGCATATATTCTCTTTGTGGATTATAAAATTTAACATTGGTGTGTCCTTTACGGCAGGATAATGATTCAACCATTCAACTTTTATCCACGTGGCATATTTTGCATGGCCAAAGAATATTAACGTGGTCATGTCGTGTCCAAATTAATTTCCAAAACCTTGAAAGCAATGCCACGTATAATTTGACCATGACACTAAATTGCTAAGCAATTGACTAATCAAGATAGAATTGCACCAAAATAGCCCATCTTCTTCAATTCCATCGTTTTGGCAATTTGGTCAGATGGAAAACGTGTTTTGTATCTTAAGTCAAATAGCACCAAAATGTTTAATTAATTTAGGATTTAAGATTAACCTTGGTTTTTGTGGTTTATATCCAAAATGCTTAATTAATTTAGCAATAATGTGGTTTATATCCAAAATGTTTGATGGACCATTTAGTACTATGGTCTAATGGTATTCATCTTCACTTGTAAGAGAAGTCTTATGTTTGATTCTCGCCAAAAACGAATTTTAACCACACTTATTATGAGGCTAAGTCCACCCCCAGTCTCTTAGTGTAAATGATATTGCTTGTTAAAAAATGAAAGATGTTATCCAAGTTGACCCTAAATATTAAGATGACATTATTGTCCCTTCTCCCAACCTATTTGGTAAGTTCAAAGCAAAATTTGTATTCCACTTTGTTTTATTCTACCCTAATTTATTTTTTCATTTCTACACAAAATTTTGACAATCAAATTGAATAATTCAGATGAAAACAAGAGACAAATCAAATAAGAATACGTAGGGTGAAAAATGGTAATTTGATTATCGTTTCCGCTTATTCTAACGATAAAATATTAACAACGAAAAATCGGTTTTTTAGAATTCATAATATTAGTAAATTTAATACAATGTGTTCTTGTTTTGTGAGTAATATTTGTAATCCGTTCATTCTTATTTTGCAAATAATATATATGTTAGATTAAATTTAAAATTTAAAATTGAATACAACGCACCATTACATTGCATTCTAAAATAATTTCGTGATTTTGATTTAATATCCAAAATGATACATGATTACCTTTATCTCTTCAAGGATATTCTTAAGAACATATCAAAATCCTCATTTTTCTAACCAACAAAAAATAAATAAAAAAGAACAAAAAAAAATCAAATAAAAAGTAGAACGTTATTCAGGTACAGAACCGTATTTCAGGCTCAATTATCGCGCGCATTATAAGAGTAATTTTCAGTTTGTTGAAATAGATTCAGTACATACAAAAAATGATAATACAAATAATTAAATACTTAAAAAGAAAAAATTCAACCATTTATTATAAGGCGCGTAGGATCGCGTCCTTGACGGTCTAAAAATCCCTCCAATTATAGAACCACCGCGTCCTTCTAATCCACCATTTTATTCAAATTCCCCAAAGTACCCCTAGAACTTTCCCCAATAAATTCGTCTCTCGTCGGTCTCTCTTTTAACACACAGAAACACAATCTCTTCTTTCTGTCTCGCAGCTCGCTCCCTCGCTCGCTGATCCCTGGCCCGGCCCGACCCGAACCGAATCGCCATCGCCGAACCGGCCGAGTCGGGCACAATGACTCGGCGGTGCTCTCACTGTAGCAACAACGGGCACAACTCGCGCACGTGCCCGACACGTGTAGGGTCCTCCTCCTCGTCCCCCTCCTTATGCGGCGGCGGAGGCGTGAAGCTGTTCGGCGTGAGGCTCACCGATGGCTCGATCATTAAGAAGAGCGCAAGCATGGGGAATTTATCCAGTGCGGTGGTGCACTACCACTCCTCGTCGCCGAACCCGGACTCTCCGAGCTCCGACCCGCTCCATGACCCGGTTCACGTTCCCGACGGTTACTTATCCGACGACCCCGCCCACGCCTCCTCCTCCGTCAATCGCCGCGGCGATCGTAAAAAAGGTAATTTCCGTTTTCCGAACTTATTTCAATTTTTGGAAGCAGAAGGCGTTGTATTTGATTGATGTTGTTGAATTTGTTTGTTATATTCGCATGCATGAAGTTGATTCTATTGTTTTGTTCGGAGTTAAGTCAAAATTTTGATGGAATATTTGAAATATTGAATGAAAATTGAAATTAATCTGACGGAATTAGATTATTTTATACGTATTTGTTGTGTTTATTATGTATAGCTTTATTCTAAATTATGCAAAAATCTGTTCGTTTCTTGAGGAAGATGAGCCGTTCGTTTCATTGTTTCATCTATGTTGACTTGGTCTTTGTTTGTTATCCTTTTGCTTTTCATCGGTCTGGATTGTTTTCAAATAATGGGTTAATTTCAAGTCGTAATCTTGCTGGAACTCGTCAGTTCGTGGTTTCGCGGTTCATTTGAAGTAATTTACATCGTTAGTGCACTATGCGTGTTTTTGTTTGTGTTTGTAATGCTTTTGAGCTTGGAGTTTGGTGGTCTTTCAACAACAGGAGCACATGCTTGCACTTTTACCATGCCCCGACAAGCGAAGAGATGGATTCAATTTTAGGGTTTTAGACGATTCATAAATTCTGCCGAAGGCTGCGTTATAGTGCCTCGAATAATGCTCTGACAACAGTTAACATCCTCTTGGAAACTAGTAATTCTTGCCTGCCACCGGTAGTGTACAACTGGTGGCAGGGAAAGGATCCCAAAACACTGCCAAAGTCTTTCTCTAATAAGAGCATAACTTGTACTGGGAGTTCATGGGTACACTACGTGAATGTTGATGTCCTGTCTAGGATAATAGTTGAAATATTTGGCCCTGAATGGAATTTAGATGAGGTAATGTTTATGGTCCTTGGTTTGCATTTCGTGTTTGGTGATGGTATCGTGCTAAGACAGTTACTTTCCATGCCACATCAAAATATCCAAATGTTTGACTTTCATTACAGATTGCTCATTTTTTCCCTTCTGCTGACTCATTTGCGCTAAGACAGTTTCAAACGATTGGTAATACAATGCATGGTTGAAAAGAAATCAAAAGATTACGAGTACAGGGCCCTGCACGCGGAGGAAGCAGGGTATTTATTAATGTTTTCCTGTGACTTGTGCATGCTTAAAAACCTCAACTGTAAGAAACCTTATTGTTTTCACTCTTGTTGTTTCCAAAGCCTGCAAATGCCCATCTAATGTTTGTAACTGTTTCTGTTATCACATCAGGTCTTGAATTGACAGGTTGTTGCTTGCATAAAATCATTGTAAAATGTACTATAATTGTCTCCAAGCCCACCATGTTTTGCAACCCAATCTTACTTGTTGATCAATTCTTGGGGTTTATAATCAATTTTTACTGGCTTTGGTTCTCAGGAACGCCTTGGACAGAAGAGGAGCATCGGATGTTTTTGATAGGTCTCCAGAAATTGGGGAAGGGAGACTGGCGTGGGATAGCACGGAGTTATGTGACGACTAGGACTCCCACCCAGGTGGCAAGCCATGCCCAGAAGTATTTTATTCGACAGAGTAATGCTACACGAAGAAAGAGGCGCTCCAGCCTTTTCGACATGGTTCCCGATATGGTATGTCTTACTCCATGATTTATTTTTCTTTTAAAATATTCTACTCACAATTGTGACCATGCTATCAGACACAGAATATGGTTTTCTATATTAGGCATCTTATGGTAAAGATGCGCTTCTCTTTCATTTAAATGATGAATGTATTGCCAAAAGATGATCGATCGCATGGGTTTAGCTTGTGTTTATCAATTCTGGCTTCTGAGCTATCTGACCTATCACTATGTAATTTGGTCAAATAAATTGGTGTTCGGTTCTGTGATAAAGGTTTGATAATGATGCAAAAACTTGCGATTGAATTGTTTGTTATTTGTTTTCCAGGCTATGGATCCACCTCCTGTGCCAGAAGAACAAGTTTTTCTGCCTTCTTCTCGGGAAGGAGAATCTGAAGATGCAAACTCACTACCTTCATTAAATCTTTCCCTCAGCTCTGAGACCAAACCCATGGAAACCACACATGAAGAAAAAGTAATAGAACTTGATCAGGAGCCTGCAATGGGATCAAACGGTTTCCCGCCAATAGCTCCACCTTACATCCCAGCTTATACGTCCTACCCTTGGCCATATTGGGCACCAAGTGCAGGGTTCTTTACAGAAATGGTTGGTGAGCTCTCTCATCAACCGGTCTTAAGGCCGATTCCTATCGTTCCTAAGGAGCCTGTCAATGTTGATGCGCTGGGCATGTCTCAGCTCAGTCTTGGAGAGACGGAGGGAGGACTTAAGGAGCCTTCACCTCTCTCCTTAAAACTACTCGGAGAGCCGTCAAGGCAGTCAGCATTTCACCCGAAAGCTCCAGCTAGTGAGCCGGACGTGAGCAAAGGCAAGAGCAGCGCGATCCAAGCAGTCTGAATCTGGCGAAATGGAGCGGCATCTCGGTCTTCTTTTCGGGCTGTTTTGTACTTTTTGTTGTGCACTAGTCTGAAGGCTTATAAATAACATAGGCTAGATAAATTTCGTTGGAGAAAAGTTAATTCTTTCTAATTGTAAACAGCTAGAAATTTGAAACTGTTACGGTCCTGGTAACTTAGTTATGCCTTCAGTCGATGAAATCTGAATTTCTTGTAGTCTTGGCATACAATCTGATATAAAAACATAAATATTGATGGGAAAACATGCTTCATGCTCCAGTTGACGGGACCTTTCGGCCGGTGGACTCTTGCGTTCGACTGCGGAGTCGATTGTACGGAAGAAAAAATGCTCGGATACGAGAAAGTCTTCTCAGGCGTAGCCGACTGTGCGTCCTCTTCACATTATGTGGTCAAGTGTGGGACTTTGATTTTTTGGATTCAACCACTTCCAATCGACTCCATTTCTCTCTTTGATGGAGATTATGGGCAATTCTGACTGGATTTCTCCTCTGTCCGCTGACGTGCTCGAATTTGATTCCAACATCACTCAAAATATCCGCTATATCCTCATTCCTGTCGTATTCATCATTGAGTAAACTGCCAAATACTCCCCGCTCCCCCACCCCCGCACTTACCCCTTAACTAGTGCGAGGCTGCCGATTTTAGTGGATTTTAAAGAATTTGAATGAATTTGATTTGTAGATTTTAGTGGATTTTCATATAATTTTTTTATTGAAAAAAAAAAAGGACAAATCTTTTCCCCTTGCCCTACTGTACTTGATAGCCACTTTATCCCCTTCCTTTTTGGGTTCTCTTTCACATCATTACGGCTCCATCTCTCTCTCAATTGATAGATGAACAGAACTTTGGTGAGCTTTTGAGCACTACATCATCAACAACCATCACCACCGACTGCCCTTTTGCCAGAGGCATACAATGTAGTACTTCAGTAGTGCTTGTAGTACCAAAGACATTAAAAAATCAGAATGGCGAGAGAGTATTATTAAACAAAATCCTAGAAACTGTTACCTGCCTAATTAAGGTCTAGGGGTCATAATAATACAGAAAACTAGTATCAGAAACTGTTACCTGCTCCCTTGCACGCCTTGTAGTCAACCAAGCCTGACTCTAACTTCATTTTTCCATTATTAACCAAAATCCTATATATATATGATATATCCTTGAATGCTTCAAACTAATATTCTGTAGAGTAGGGATCAAAGATGTTGAACACTACATTGGGTTCTAATCATTGAGCATTGTCACGCCCCAACCTGCGAATAAAGACTATTCACGAGTTAGGATGTGAGCCATATCTTAGCTATAAAAATAAAATCTACAACCAAGACATAATGAAAAAATTTACAATAAAATTGATTAATAACTAAAACACAATACATCACAGCACAAAATCTTACATGATAAAACTTGAGTTTACCACATATAATTTATTGAATACACAGCGGAAATAAAATAGTGCATAAATTAATTCACAACAAAAAGTACCAACGAAATAATAATTGAAATGAGTAGCTCTTGCAAATACATAAAATATATGCAATGAGATTCATGAATGTACTCACTCCCTTTTAATCCCATTAATGTTGGATTTATTCTACATAAATCAACCATAAATGGTCTACTATATGTAATAGGAATGTATAAGTTGGAGATCAGTTAAGTTGCGATTTGATTTCCTTATATCAACCCTACATTAAGTGTCTTACATTATAAGTAGGTTTTGATTGAATCCTTAATAATATATGATTATGATATTTTACTTGAGAGCCAAATGAGAGTTTTAGTTTTTCCTTATGGACAGAATCTAAGACTTTTTGGCTAGTATATAAACACCGATCCCTGCTAATCCTAGACACGACAACTAAGGCTTCCCATAGAGCATTGTTATCAAGCTAGGAGTTCGCACAAAAGTTGGTGTTTTCTCTCGATCATGGCAAACGTATCAGAGTTGGTGTTCTCTCAATCATGCATTGGTTGCATGGCTGCTGCACCTTCAACAAGTAAGTGCTTCATATAAATTTATATAATTGTATATCTTGTGTTTTGATCATACAAACAATATGGATAACAATTGGTATCAGAGCCATTGTTTGTATGGTTAAAAAACCAATAAAGAATCAATACCGCATATGTTTTCGATTGATCAACCTGCATGTATAAAGTTATAACTATATTTGATGACTATCGAAAACATTCAGTGTTTGCATAGTTTTTAATTCATGCCAGTTTTAACTGTTCTGCATGATCATTAGTACTTCGGTACTTATAAGGTTGATATGGACATCATCTGCATAATTCAGTTAATCATATTTTCAAGCTACAACCGTTTATCGTGAGAGATTGAATCATGTAGTAAAGTTGTTGTTCATAAAATTGCATTCAATATATGATATAGAGACTGTTCTTCTTGCTCACAAGTGTTGATGGATCATATATGAATGGTATGACATGATTTATGTGCTATATCAGTAGTGAAGGTTCTCATCTTGCTCACAAGTGTTGGAAATCAACATGAAGGTAACTGGTATAACACATAAATCAATGTCAGAAGACATATTGATTCATCTTGCTCACAAGTGTCGAATCAATTTCGTTTTTATAAAGTTTTTGGGATTGGTTTAATCTATGCATGCATGTTGTATATATATTCAGTGATGAATGCTGTGAACACTGTTCAGACCCTAAGTGGAACAAACTACAAAAAGTGGAAACAAGACTTGGAAATCTGTCTGGGATTAATGGATTTAGACATGGCAACAAGGGAAGATTCTCCTCCAGAACCTGCTACAGATGCTACAGTTGATGTCAAATCAAATTATGAAAAGTGGCAGAAGGCTAATCGAATTGCTCTTTTGGTGATCAAGAAGTCCATGTCTGATACAGTGAAAAATTCAAGGAGTTCTTGGCATCTATTGATGAAAAATTCAAGGAGTTCTTGGCATCCCTAAGTCCGAGAATGCCAAGGAGTTCTTGGCATCTATTGATGAAAAATTCAAGGAATCAGATAAGGCAGAAACTGGGAATCTCATGAATGAGCTCATGTGGAAAATGTATAATGGTATAGGTTATGTAAGGGAGCATATATTAAAACTGCTAGATATTGGTGCAAAATTAAATGCTCTCAAGGTCCCTATGAGTGATCCTTTCTTAGTTCATGTGGCACTTCACTCGTTGCCAAATGAGTATTCACAACTGAAAAACACATACAATGCACAAAAGTAAAAGTAGAGTCTGAATGAACCGATTGTGATTTGTGTGCATGAGGAGCAACATATAAGGCATAAATTTTTTGAAAGGAAAGTGAATATGGTGACTGACCACCATAACAATACTACAAGGCAAGATTACAACAAGGGAGCATCAAATCACTCCAAGCTAGGTGCAAACAAAGGTTCCAAAGCTGTCAAAGGCAAGTGTTTTTTCTGCAAGAAGTGGATTGCCAAAAATACAAAAAGTGGATTGACAATGGCAAGGGGAAAGGTAATGTTATGATTTTTAAAGGTGAAGTTTTAGTTTGTTTTGAAACAAATAATATTGAATATGCTTGGGATTCTTGGTGGATTGACAATGGTGCTTCAATACACGTGGCAAATTCATTACAGGGATTCATAAGCAAGAGAGTGCCAAAAAGGGATAAAGTCTTAGTGATCGTTGGGAATGGAGGAAGAGCTGCTGTCAAGTTCATTTGAACAGTTAGAATAAAGTTAGAGTCTGGTTTTACATTAAACCTTGAGAATGTGTACTATGTACCTTCAATTCAAAGGAATCTAGCATCAGTTAGTTAGCTAGTTATGAAGAATTTTGCCTTTTCAATAAATGACAGTGGTTTTTCAATCTATAAAAATTCTCAGCTTGTTGGAAATGGTTTGCATGTTGGTGGGATGTTTAGACTGAATTGCAAAGAGTTAAAACATGTAGCACACATGGTCAGACAAAAGAGATTGAATCAAAATGAGACTTCCTCCACTCTTTGGCACAAAAGATTAGGGCATATTTCAATTGAGAGAATAAAGAACCTACGTAAAAGTGGCATGCTTCCACCACTTGAGTTTGATAATCCAGTTACATGTATTGAATGCATTAAAGGACAAATGGTGAGTTCACACAAGATAGATGCAATAAGAAGTAATGGATTACTAGAGCTTACACACACTGACATATGTGGTCCTTTCCCTATGCCTACGTATGATGGTTATAGGTACTTCATAACATTCATAGATGACCATTTGAGATATTGTTACTTATATTTGCTTACTGAGAAGTCCAGTGCTCTGAATGCTTTTCTTTACAAGGCTAAAGTTGAAAAATAGTTGGATAAGAAAATCAAAACTGTGAGGTCTGACAGAGGTGGTGAATACTATGGAAGATACATTGAACATGGAAGAAATCCAGGACCTTTTGCACTTTATTTGCAAAGTGAAGGAATTGTAGCTCAATATAAAAATCCTGGAACACCACAACAGAATGGTGTTTCTGAGAGAAAGAATCGTACCTTGAAGGAATTGTAGCATTACCAACTTGCCAATGTTTCTATGGGGTGATGCAATTAAAACTGCAAACTATATCTGCAACAGGGCACCAAGCAAGTCTATCACTTCAACACCCTTTGAACTTTGGAACAACAGAAAGCCTAGCTTGTTACCTTTGAGAATATGAGGATGTAAAGTAGAAGCAAAGGCATATAATCCTTATGAAAAGAAGTTAGACTCCAAAACTGTGAGTTGTTATTTCATTGGTTATCCACCAAGAACCAAGGGATATAGATTTTATTGCCCTGGAAATTCTATGTGTTTCATTGAGACAAATAGAGTGAAGTTCATAGAAGAGATGATAAAGGGAGCCTTAAATCACAACTTGGTTTTTGAAAAACAAGATAATCTAATTTACAAGAAAATGTAGAAGGCATTGGTGTAGAGACTTCAAACACAAGTCACAATCTTCTTTTGCCACCAGTTACTGAGAATACTGAGAATGTTGTGCAAAATGATTTAATGGATGTCACTGATAACACCATAGGCAACATGGAAAAACCACATGTTACTAATGATGCTCCATATGAACCAGTATAAGTCACAGAACCAATTCCTGAAGTCCTTGCACCTATGCTTTGAAAATCTACAAGACTGAGGAAGTAAACTATCTCAAATGATTTTGTGCCGTATTTGAGTGAAGCAGATATTAATATTGGTGAATCTGTAACTTATAAGAGGCTATAAGTGGATTGCAGCAAGAAGAGTGGGTGAAAGCCATGGAGAGTGAACTTGAATCCATGAAGAAGAATCAAGTGTGGGAACTTGCAGTGTTACCAAAGGGAGCAAAACCGATCGGATGTAAGTGGGTATATAAGACCAAGAAGGACTCCAATGGAGAAATTGAAAGATTTAAGGCTAGACTTGTAGCCAAGGTATACACTCAACAAGAGGGAATTGATTACAATGAGACATTATCACCAGTCTCAACAAAAGATTCATTCAAGTTTGTAATGGCTTTGGTGGCTCACTATGATCTTTATTTACATCAAATGGATGTAAAAACTGCATTCCTAAATGGCACTTTGGAGGAAGAAACTTATATGTGACAACTTGAGGGATTCATTGATGCTGATGGTAAGGAATTGGTCTGCAAACTCAGGAAGTCGATTTATGGCCTAAAATAGGCCTCAAGACAATGGTACTTGAGCTTTGTTGAAGTTATGCAATCACACAGTTTTATTGAGAATTCTAAAGATGAGTGTATATATTTTAAATCCAGTGGGAGACTCTTCACCATATTGGTGCTTTATGTGGATGATATTTTCATAGCAAGCACTAACTTGACCTTTACTGCATGAAACTAAAATAATACTCAGTGATAACTTTGAGATGAAGGACATGGGTGAAGCCTTTTATGTCTTGGGAATCGAAATCACTCATGACAAAAACAGAGGACTACTTAGGCTATCACATAAGGGGTATATTGAGAAAATACTCAAGAGGTTCAATATGTCAACATGTAGTGGTTGTGATGTACCAGTAACAAAAGGGGATAAGTTGAGTAAACTGCAAAGTCCCAAAATTGAAGCTAAAAAGCTTGAGATGAATGATAAACCACATGCTTCAGTCGTAGGGAGCCTAATGTATGCACAAGTATGCACCAGACCTAACATTGCTTTTGCATTCAGTTTGCTGGGGAGATATCAGTCGAATCCTGGACATGCTTATTGGATTGCAGCAAAAAAGATGCTCAGATATTTGCAAAAAACCAAAGACTATAAATTGGTATACAAGAGAAGTGATATGCTCGAGTTGGTTAGCTACTGTGATTCAGATTTCGCAAGATGTCAAGACTCATTGAAATCAACTTCTAGCTACATTTTTATGATGGCAAGAGGTGCAATCTTGTGGAAAAGTATGAAACAAAAGAACATAGCTACATCTACCATGATGGCAGAATACATGGCTTGCATTGAAGCTACTTCCCAGGCAGTATGGATTGGAAAGTTTATAGAGGGAAAGAGAGTTCTCAATATTGTCATAAATCCGTTGCAGATATTTTGTGACAATACTGTTGCAGTTTTCTATTCAAAGAACAACAAGAGGTCTTTTGGGACCAAACACATGCATATCAAGTACAAGTTGATTAAGGAAAAGATTAAGCAAGGTTCATAAAGATTAGCTATATTGATATTGCATCAATGCTTGTAGATCCCTTGAACAAGCCACTTTCAGTCATGTCTTTGAAGAAGCATGTAGAAAATATGGGATTGATCTCGAACTTTGAGATGCTGAGTTAGTGGGAGTAGAAAATTGTTTTTTAACTGCAGTAAAATAAGTGAGCTAAACTCACTGAGCTTTGAGTTTTGAGATGTGGTTTGTTTCCGAGGTTAGGTTTGAATAAAGATTGTTTTTTTTTTATTTTAATTATTTGTGTTCACATGATGCTTGCATATTTAATTCTTTTGGCATAAGTTTATTTTGGAATAATAAAAGTTTGCGTTGGCAAACATGCAAAATGCTTGAAAAGCATAACATGTCATTTTGGAATGATAAAAGGTTTGCATTGGCAAACATGTGGACTGCTTAAAAGCATAAGTGTGACTTTGGAATGGTAAAAAGTTTGCATTGGTAAACATGTAGACCGTTTAAAAGCATAAGGTGTGACTTATGAAAGTTACGATAAAGTGGACCTGAGATGATACAGAGTAAGACCGTTCTTGAGTTAAAGTTCATCTCTAGATCATAATCTGATGGTTTTCATGTGAATGGTTGACTCAGTGTATGTGATTACGAAGGTTTTGAGATGAAATATCTTTACAACCTTGTTAATCCTACATTGAGAAGTCCATTTGACAGAAATTTGAATTAAGGATGGGATTGGATCGCAGTGATATGGCCATTAAAGAAACAATGACCTCCGACATATGTTTTGAAGCATGATCATTATAATTAGTAGACCAAGTGGAAGAATGTTGGATTTATTCAACATAAATCAACCATAAATGGTCTACTATATGTAATAGGAATGTATAAGTTGGAGATTAGTTAAGTTGCGATTTGATTTACTTATATCAACCCTACATTAAGTGTCTTACATTGTAAGTAGGTTTTGATTGAATCCTTAATAATATATGATTATGATATTTTACTTGAGAGCCAAGAAAAGAGAGTTTTAATTTTGCCTTATAGACGGAATCTAAGACTTTTTGGCTAGTATATAAACACCAATCCCTGCTAACCCTAGACACGACAACTAAGGTTTCCTATAGAGCATTGTCATCAAGCTAGAAGTTCGTAGAAGAGTTGGTGTTTTCTCTTGATCACGACAAACGTACCAGAGTTGGTGTTCTCAATCACGCATTGTTTGCATGGCTACTGCACCTTCAACAAGTAAGTGCTTCATATAAATTTATATAATTGTATATCTTGTGTTTTGATCATACAAACAATATGGATAACAGTCAACACATACCTAAGGCACCTAAGCCTGCACGTTTTATACCATGCTTATACCACTTGGCTTCGAATACCTTAGAATATGAGTTAACTCCCGTTCATCCCTTAACCCAATTTTTGTAATTAAACTCTCAATTTCCACTTTATTAAACAAGTACTTCCACCGATGCCTAATTGTATATTCAAACCCTTCCCTCGATGCCTGACATATACAAGATTTCATTATTTTATAATCAACCAATTTATATACTCAAGCCCTACATCCTACTCCTGACATATACAAGGTTCATTATTTTATATTCAAGGCAAACTTGAGCCCTTGAATATCCTCACAATGCAAAACACTTTACACAACTCAACACAACTCTTTTTCTTGCTTTGCATGAATTTTTATGTATATGTCAGTGTTCATATCGATACCAATACCTACATTTTATCTAACAAGCCTGCAAATTTCAATATAAATCAATTTGATTAGTAAAAAGAGTAATATAATCATAATATTAATAAAATAATAATCTTTAATGTAAATGATAAGCAATATGTTACCATTTCCTCATTTTTTTATTGTTTCAATTTCATTTCCTCCCTCTTGTTCTTTTTCTTCCTTCACCACTTCCCTTCCTCTTCTTTAATATAGCTAAAATTCTACATATATAATAGGAGTCGGATTGCTGAAAAACTTCCATGAAAGGGAGAGAAAGAAACTGGAGATGTTGGCCATGCAAAAAGGTTGGTAGAGAAGGCTAGCTCAACTGAACATCAGCTGTTCGAACTGGGGTACAAGTCAGAACATAGGTTCGATTGTTGTGGCTTTTGGATGTGTTATAGATGAGATGATAAGGAACAACTTTTGTGAAGGAAGTGTTTTGATTGGAGCTCTACAAAATGGAGTTTTGGTGCTCATAACTTGGCTGTCCAGTTTTCTGCGGGATTAGAGACTAAGTTGGTATTTTAAACATATTGGACGATCGCACTGTTGGATTTTCCTGAAAGTTGGATATATCATGGTAGACAGACAGATAAACAACTCTCATGAAGAAAGTACTATGATATAATCTATGGATGATGGTGTTTTGGGCTCTTAAATAGGCTGGACGAATTTCTAGTTGTTTTGGATATCTTTCTTTTGATAGATGAAAATGATGGTGAGTTTGGTGGAGATTTGTTGGGTAAGGTCTCATGTATTTTTTCTGGGATTTGTCTCACACTTTTTGTACATCATTCTCAAGGAAATAAATAGAGATTTTCGATAGTTTGGTGGAAATGCTTCTCATGGCAATGATCTCCCAATGTAAATGCATAAACAACACAAGATTTAAATGGTTCGCCAAATCAACTACATCCACTCGGGTTTGTTTTCATTGTATTTCACTATATATATAGGGACCTACAAATACAATGAAAGATGGCTTAAAGCCCTAAGAACATTTTAAAGAAATATAAGAAGGTAATATGAAAGGGAGAATTGCTTTCTTGTTGGAGTGGTTCCTTCTTCTTTTTTTCTTCTTCTTCGTCTCTCTTTTTCTCCATGTCTTCCGTTGGTTCTTGCTCCTTCCTTTATAAAGATTGCATGACATCTTCATCTCCAAAATATCTCCCAAATGTGCTAATAGAAAGAAACCAAGTGTGGTGCCAATCATTAGACATAAAATGTGTTCCAATACCAAGGCAACAAGTGTTGTCCTAATGATTAAGAATGATAAGTGTTCAAGTGGCAAATCAACAAGTGTCTAGTTAATTATGAACAAATGAATATCATGCAAGATGTTCCTTGCATCAAAAGCCACGTCCAAACTCTAAGGAATATGAATCCCACCCGTTCTCACCTCCTTGGAAGATTTGGAACAAAATTGAATAGAGAATATTGTAGCCAAATGATTAAGATTCCTCTTAACCTTGTGAATCATCACTCTAAAACCACAAAATATTGCCAACTCATGCAGTTAGTCACACATATAAGCCAAAGGCTTCCCACCTCCACATTTTGGAGTGGTGAATAATCACCAATCATTAACTCCTAATGATTACAAACTTTCCACCTCAACCTATCTAGAGTAGTGACTAACCCCTCCTCTTTATTCTCTAATGGTTGCCAAAGCGCCACTTAGCCTTTGTGAGAAAAGTAAAGCCAAACTCATCATAATCTCCTTCTCCAATTCAAACTAAAAATATCTCTAATTACATATGAACATGAAATACTACTAGCTAGTTTTTGAAATAATTTGTAGCAAAAACTATTTTACATATCGAAAGTAGGTTCTTGCATAAAAGAAATCTAATAAAATCATTACGTAAAAATAATTACCCACACACACACACACACACACACACACATATAACCATTTTTTTTAATACGGGGTATTACAAGCATCAACGTGATTCCCCTCTGACTCGAGAGCTCATAAAAAAAACCCAGCTCAAACTGTGTACAATACTGTGAAATGCTTACAAAAAGAGATTCTACCAAAGTATATGGTGGTACCTGTGTGTGCCTGAGGTTGGTAGAGATTTGAGGACTGCCTAGTATTTTAAAGTCTTTTAAAATCCTCTCAAATCCGAGATTGACTACACCCCCTAATATACAATCATCTTGTTACTTTTCAACGAATTCAACAATCATTATTTTAATTAACTATATTATGGTAGCAACAATCCGCTGTTTTCAGTCTTGATAAATTTGTACCTACAAAGCAATCAACACTTTTAATCAAATACCAAAGCCTCACGTTGAATCATTGATGCCTAAGTTAGTTTTTCTAGAAAGAGTAAGTGTTTAAGGCTTATATTCTTAGCAAAAAACTTACTGAAACTTGGAGGTGATGAGGGTATTTATAAGAGGTAGTGGCATGCCATGCTGAAGGTTTTGTCCTATACATGGCAGCTTCCTATTGGCTAAGTTATGTGATGTGCAAGGAAATGGTATTTCCAAGATATTAATTAGGAGATAATATCTTAATGGGAATATCCCAAATTGATTGAGAGTTCTGCCTATTTAATGAGAGTAGTCTTGTCATACTTGAGTAAAAGTTCACATGTCGCCTCCATGATTTTTGTGATTATTTTTTGTTCCACAAATGCCCCTACATATGTTAAAAATAATTAAATATTTTATTAATTGTTTAGTCACGTGACACAAGTTGGCAGCCATGTCATGTATGAGATTAAAATGAAACACTAAGTAAATGTATGAAATTGAAATGTTTTAAAGATTTTTTATGAGGTTACAATTGACTTTGAGGAACTAAAATGTAATTTAACTTTATATTTACTATAGCGGATGCACCCAATACACTCGAGTTCAAAGCCCTACTACCGTTTCAATTAATTAAAAGTAAAACTAGTTTTGTTAGACCATTTTCATTAGTTTTCTAAATATACTAGCTAACATGTTATCGTACATCCCTCCTAAAACATATATATATATATATATACACATTTTAAATTAATGCACCGTCAGTAGCCTTGATGAGATGTCACGTGTCTCTTATTCAAACTTGGTAACATACGAGACACACACACAATAAACGAGAGGATTTATGCGGTAATTTAAGAAACACTATAATAAACATGATATTCTGGTCTCACTAAATATGGGATTCCAAATTTAGGGTAATAAATACCCTCCTATTATGGAAACAAGATCATCTTCAAGATTATAATTTGAAAGTTCGTTGCGATCAGTCTGTTAATTTTGTTAAAATTTGGTTGATACGGCCACATAACTAAATTACTCAATAAAAATATAAACCCATGTTGGCGCACACCAAAATTATACAAATCATTGGAGCGTTTACAAAATTAAAAAAAAAAAAAAAACAATTAAAAGTTTCACATATTTGTAATTTTGTATAATTTCAATAAAAATTTGAAAAAAAATGTTAAAAACTAACATGCAGCCAAATTATGAAATCTAAGATAAAATCTTTCTTGTACCCAAAAACAGAATAACAGAGTGACGTGGTGAAAGAATCCGAGAGCTCACCAAACACTCTGTGCGCCTTGTCGTGTCATATATAAATACCCAGAGGAACAGCGTCTTCTTCCCTCCGATCTCCGATCTCTCTCTGGTCACTCAATTTAGGGTTTTCTGATCCTCTCTGCAACTGTAATTTAGGGTTTGGAGCGAAATCTTAGCTTCCTGTCGTTCGCATATAATCTCCCTCATTCAAGTCAAATTTTCAAATTTCTAGGGTTCTGGTATTCGATTTTGTTTAGATATCTCAGCTATTCGATATGTAAGTGCGTATATAGCTTACAATTGGGAATTTTGTTTTGGATTTTGATGATAAATTTGTTGCCTTAGGGTTTTGATAAGAGTGAATTTGGAAGGGACGTTGTAGAATTTGGCTTTTTGTGGTAAAGTAGATTGTTTGGTGCTCGAGAATTTGCTCAGCTATGGCTTCATACCGGCCATTCCCACCCCAATCATCGTTCGCGCCACCACCAAATCAAAACCCTCTACCGCCAGCACCGCCGCTACCGCAACAGCGAGGCAGTCAGTATAACCAGAATTGGGGATATAATGCTAGTAGTGGTGGTTCTGGTGGCAGCGATGGGGCTGTTCCGGCGGCTCCTTCTTCGTATCCACCAAATTACAATTACCAGCATAGTAGTTATGCCCCTCCAAGAACTCAACACCCTCGTCCACCACCACAATACAACTATCAACCACCGCCTCCACCACCACCCGAGTCTTCATACCCACCACCACCGCCCCCTCAAGCTCCTCCAGTGGGGCAAAGTAATATGCCATTACAGCCTCCGCAAGCCCCCATGTACTACCAGAATTCTCAGTATAGTCACCAGTCAATCCAGCAGCCGCCACCACCTCCGCCCCCACCACCTTTGTCCCCGAATTCTTCGGTACCACCGCCACCACCTCCCCCTGGTTCACCTCCACCACCGCCTCCTCAAAGTAAGGATAGTGGGGTAGATAGGGGATCCCATGACAAAGGGGCTTCCAGAGAGGCATCACTTTCTGGGAGGCGTGAACGTGGGCATATGAATCATGGGGTTCCTGAAAAACAGCAGAAGCCCCCTGTTCCTTCAGTGCCAGCAAAAAAAGCAAATGGGCCGCCAGGGAGAGTGGAAACGGAGGAAGAGAGGAGATTAAGGAAGAAGAGAGAGTTTGAGAAACAAAGGCAAGAAGAGAAGCATAGGCAGCAGCTGAAGGATTCCCAAAACTCAGTTGTGCAGAAGACGCATATGTTGTCTTCTGGGAAGGGACATGGTTCCATTGGTGGGTCGCGAATGGGGGAAAGGAGAGCTACTCCATTTTTGAGTGGTGAGAGGACTGAAAATAGGCTAAAGAAGCCAACGACATTTGTATGCAAGTTGAAGTAAGTATGCTAACAATTACCTTTGTTTGAAGAACATAAATTTGCCCTTTCTAATTGAACTCAATCTTTTTCTGTTTTAATGGAAACCGACTTCAAACCTTGATACCTCCATACCGATTTGATAATATGATGATAATTCATTCCCTAACAGTTTAAGTTGAACTGCTACTCATTTGATTCTATATGTTTAGTGGAACATAATGATCTTTTAAGCAATATAACATGTTTTAAAATGTAACCTTGTCTCAAACTACCGACGGTATGTCACAGTCAATCTCATATGTCCTAGATGTCTGAACAACATTCTTTTAGTCTACTCCGAAGAAAAATAGAACAAAATAATTTTAGTTTGAAATAGTGTCCGCTCACCACTCTGTGTTTACTCCTATGATGACTCTAATTAAATTGTCTTTTCTTTGAAGATTCAGGAATGAACTTCCAGATCCTAGTGCACAGCCAAAGCTTATGTCATTGAAGAAAGAGAAAGATCAGTAAGTCATCTCTTCTGTTGTTCAACCATCTAGACAATTATGCATTTAGGCTTGCCCTTGTTGTAATGCGTGTTCACTGGTTCATGGACTTTTGAGTATGCAAGAATGAGTAACTGGCAGTTTATGAAATTTTAACTGTTAGAATATAAAATCCAGAAAAGATTGGTGTGGTGGGGGACACTAATTTACATGGCTCGGCTTAGTTTTAAATCTTTTGAGGAAACTAATAGTCTAGGTTGAGTTGATTTTTTCATGTTTTAACACCCACTCTACGGTTTAAGTATCACTGGGATTCTGGGATCAAGCATGTTTTTAAGTTATTGTTGAAGCTTGGACTATGGGAACCAATTCTTATGGTTCAACTAATGACTTTATGACATATGATCGGCTGTTTAATTGTTATCCTTATTCCTTTGTTATCAAATTATCGAATTTCATGATCAAATTCAATTATTATTTTGTGGTAACTTTTACAATCTTCCCTCCCTCCCCCAGATATACAAAATACACAATAACATCGTTGGAGAAAACATACAAGCCCAAGCTTTTCGTTGAGCCAGATCTTGGGATTCCTCTTGACCTACTCGACCTCAGTGTATACAAGTATCATACTCAACCCTAAAGTTTTTAAGATCAATAGTTTTGTATTGCAAGACAATTCCGAACATATGTTTTTACTGGTTCAATCAGTCCTCCTCCTCCAAGTGTTAGACTACCCCTTGCTTTGGAAGATGAGGAATTATTGCGGGATGATGTAGCAGTGACACCTGTGAAAAAGGATGGCATCAGAAGAAAAGAGCGGCCTACTGATAAAGGGGTTGCATGGCTAGTTAAAACCCAATATATATCTCCTCTTAGCATGGAGTCTGCAAGACAGGTAGTCAAACAATGCTCTATTTTAGATGAGAAATATGTCTTTAAATTATTGGTAAGCTATGTTATAATTATGTGCATTGCCATCTACAGTCTTTAACTGAAAAACAAGCAAAAGAACTGCGGGAAATGAAGGGTCGCAACATTTTGGAGAAACTCAATGACAGGTTGCTCCGTGCCCACCTACTCTTGTGATTGTGAAACTAATATTTATTATTTATTGACTAATTATAATGAATCATTTTTCAGGGAAAGACAAATCAAGGAAATTGAGGCATCATTTGAGGCCTGCAAGTCACGACCTGTTCATGCAACCAACAAGAACTTATACGCTGAAGAGGTTCTACCTCTGTTGCCTGATTTTGACCGGTATGTAATATTTAATGTTCTATTAACATGATGATATATCCTTTTATTGCTGATCTATATAAGTAAAGTCATTATACGTGGTGGCAATGGAGTATGGTTAAGTCAAGCTGTGCTGTTTATTAACAGCTTGTTATTTTAGGCGCCAGACACTTAGAAATCAGAAGCATCTATGTTCATAAATGGGCGTGCGTACATGCAGATTGTAGATATTATTTCAGTGATGACAAATCTGAGAATGAACAATTGGGCTGGTGGCTGATTAATTAAATACCTAAAGCATTTACTTAAAGAAATTGTATTGCCTCTAGAATGTTCATATTTACTTAGGGCTGTTACTGATGATTCTTTTGTAACAGGTACGACGACCAATTTGTCCTTGCAGCATTTGATGGTGCTCCTACTGCTGATTCAGAAATCTACAGCAAGTTGGACCAGTCGGTTCATGATGCCTATGAATCAAGAGTGAGTTGGGGTTATGATGCATGCAACCAGTTTTTTGTCGTAAATTTTAGATGTTCAAACCTTCCATTTTCAATGTCTTGGGCATTGCAGTCTATAACATTGTTTAGAAGTGAAAGCCCCAAAATCTGTGAAGTATAATAGAATTAAAAAAAACTAATAGAAGACCAACATGTTTGTATGAATTGAAGACCAACATATTTGTACGAATTGGTCTGGTTAAAGCTCTGGCAGGCAAACAAGAAAAACTAATAGAACCTGTATCCACTTCGTCTCCCACTAAAAAAATTACCCAGGTTTGCTCCTAACCATATTTCAAACAGTATTCCTTCACTTCCTGTTAATGTGTCTTAGGTGGTTGCTTATTCGTTTTGGTTGGGAAACAATTAATAATGCATGTAAGTGCCATCGCACAACATAATGTCCCTAGCTTTAGATGAATTTGAATGTTTTCATATTTCTCCAAAGTTGTACTTAGAATATTTTCATGTTTCTTCAGCATCCAATAATTGGCTAGTAATCTGTTATGATCTCATCCATTACAGGCCATAATGAAAAGTTATAAGGTAACAGGTGTAGATCCAGCTAATCCTGAGAAATTTTTGGCTTACATGGTCCCTTCACCGAATGAGGTAGGCATGCTTGTTTTGAGAACATTAGCATTAACAGTTTATAGCTGCTCTTGGGGCTCATATATTATTTACCATTTCAATCGTGGCAGCTATCAAAAGATCCCTATGATGAATCTGAAGATGTTTCATATTCTTGGGTTCGCGAGTATCATTACGATGTATGTACCTTGTCCACAGTTTAAGAAGTTAATAAGTTTGACTTTTTGACTGTTTATTTAATAACAAGCCTATTCATGTCTCAACAGGTAAGAGGTGATGATGTCCACGACCCCACAACGTACCTTGTTTCCTTTGATGATGATGAAGCACGCTATGCGGTATCCCCTCGAATCGAGAATTTAATCTTTAATTATGCATGCACGTATTTCCTGATCTTTGTTTTTGGAGAAGTCTTCAAAGGTATCGTTGTTATAAATTTTCCATTACAATGCAGCCCCTTCCCACAAAGCTTGTTTTAAGAAAAAAGAGATCCAAAGAGGTAAAAACCAGTGATGAAGTTGAGCATTTTCCTGCACCTGCAAGAGTGACGGTTAGGCGGAGACCAACTGTTGCGTCAATTGAACTAAAGGATGCAGGGGTATGAGAACCTATTTGTTGAAATTTAAATTTCTTTGGGGTAATATAGGGTTTTAATAATCGAATGATTGTAATTGCATGACTTGCCGCTGTTTTCAGGATTATTCAAGGGGATCTGTATCAAAATTGAGAACAAGAGGCTATGATGTTGAAGATACCCTTGAAAGGCCACAAAAGATTGCACGACACCAAGATATGGATGAATATAGTGGTGGTGACGATGATTTATCTGATTAATTTCTCCGTTGATGCAAATGTCGCTGACTGTCGTGAAGGCTGGCAACTTATCTGGAATCTGCCCAATTGCAATCGGATATCAATGCAAAGTAAAGGCAAGTTCGAACTCATTTGACAGCTTGTTTTTGGGACGTCCATTCGATCTTCAAAATATCTGCACGTATCGTTAGCCAGAAGACATTTTTCCTCAGATACCATGAAATGGTAAGATGAAAAAGAAACCTTGTAAAGAAGTTAGACGTGTTTTAGAACGTTTTGATTTGAATATAGTGCTCTCGAGTTCATCCAGAAAGAATAGGTTTTCCCTCCCACCAGTTCTAATCCATGTCTTTTACTTGATTAGGTAATATGGTATTCAGCAATAAATTGTGCGCCTGCTTGTTTTATTGAATATTTGATTTTGTTATTAATATATTACGTACTTTACAGAGGTATTTGTCCGTTCACCCTCTCGCTAGAGCTGCAAATTTTTCTTCTAAACTTTAATTTTAGCCGATTACTCTTCTGAACTTTTATAATTAGCTAATTTCCGCTCTGAACTTTAACTTTAGCTGATTACCTCTCTAAACTTTTATAAATAGCTAATTTCCCCCTTACCGTTAGATTTTAAAAATTTTCATCATTTTTGCCCTCATATTGTTATGTATTGTTTGCGTGATCAAAATGATGGGAAAAGTAGATGAGATTTTTTAAAATCTAGCGTCAGGAGGGAGAATTGGCTATTTATAAAAGTTCTAGCAGGTAATCGGCTAAAATTAAAGTTCAAGGAGGAAATTGGCTAATATAAAAGTTCAGGGGATAATCAGTTAAAATTAAAATTTACGGGAAAAATTGATAACTCTATATAAGTTCCAGGGGCAAATCCACAAATATGCCTTCTTTACCTCAAGTCAATTACTCAGATTATGGCCTACATTGCATTTTAAGCAGCTTAGATTCGCTCGTAAAATTCTATTGGATTTTGGGACGAGCATCTACTTTGCCGTAACCGTCCAAACCAAAGCGTACTTAAGGCGTCTGTAGCATTCCTTTTTGTCTAAGATTTCTGAGTATGAATTTTTGGCGAGTTTTGGGTCCGGTGGCTGGCAAAAGGTCCCAGGGGTCAGGAAAGAGATCCTCTCTAGATTCCTTCTATCAAATCCACCAATTTGGATTCTTGAAATTTGATTCAACGTCTAAAAATAGGCCTTCTTTAAAAGTTATAATAACTTTAGTCGTTCAATCAAATTTCAAGAATTATAATCATCATCTCCGCACATGGGTGGAAGAGTTAAGCAAGCCGCAGCTGGGTCCGTTGGATCAAAGTGCTGTTAATAATTGAATGATTGTTAACAGCACATGTACAAAAACAACAAAAACAACAAAAAAAAAAAAAAAAAAAAAAAAAAAAAAAAAAAAAAACCAAACACTCAACAACTTTATTTTATAGCTTTTTATTCTCACGGCACAATAGAAGTTTTTTTTAAAAAAGGGAATTGTTATTAGCACTCCAAAAATCTCATTCTACACTCCAAACTTTCTATATTAGGAAAAACAAATACACTTGTGTGGAGTGTAGAATAAGATTTTTGGAGTGCCAATAACACTTCCCTTAAAAAACACAACAATACCAAACTAGTTCTAAATTTACACTCTACCGACAATAAGAGCTCGCTGAAGCTAAAACATTCATGGAAGTGAATTGGGGGATTTAGTGCCCTTGCTATATTGAACAATGTAAAACATTCTACAGAAAACTAAGTTGCCTCTTCACGTAATCGCCTAGCTGCCAACACAACTACGCTGTGTATTCGAATATTTACAACTACTCAAACGCTCAACAAGTACAAGCTGTTGTACGTACAACGATGAGCGATCCCCACACTGTAAGACGTTGAATTCACAGCACGATTCGATTTGTTGAGCTAGCGTTGGAAAAGTCGATTACCCTAACCATGTTCAGTTGTGAATGGAGTCCCAGGGAAGTGAGTGTATAAAACTACAGAAGGAGTAACAATTCTATTTAAGCTCCATGCAATTCTGTATATTTGCATGCGTGTGTGAAATGTTGATCGACATTTCACATTAATGATCATCATATATTGCTGAAAAGAGACAAAAACAGAAAGAAGAACACAAACAAGCTGAAGAAAGCTAGACAGGAGAAATACCTGCGATGCAACTTCATTGGGATGGTGCACTAAAAGGCATTGCAAAAGACCAAAGCAAAGCTGCAACATAATTTGGAGATGGAAGTCAAGCATATTTGTTTTCTTAGTCATTGGCTATACATTTAACAGCCAGGTATTTTTTCTTCGTCCAATTTCCTAGGCACTAAGAATGGCATCCACAAACCCTACCTTTCTGTCATGGTTCCCTAAAGCTTGCACCTGTAGGGACTCTAGGTAAGTCTTAGCAACAACTTTTGCATCACCAGCAGAGACCATTCCAGCATTAGCTTTCCTCCTCAGCAGCGCCAAGAAACCAACAAGTGCACCACGTAAAGCTCTCCAATCTGCCTGATAAAGAATGATATCACTAATTTACTTTGGAGAAAGCAAAAATACAACGCCACAAAACAGAGGTTCCAGAATAAATGAGCCAACGCACCAGTCTGTCTGTGAAGAACCCTACAAGCTATGAATAATTGCACTATCTAGTGGCTTTGATGACAGCACCGTTACAACTTCTGCCAGAAGAAGGATACCATGTCCCAAGAAGTTTGTCTTGGAATTTATCCTTTTCAGTACTAAGAAGAGAAAATTATAGGGAAAAAAATCTTGCAATCCGGGATTGTAGAGCGACACTATTTGTGCAGCTGCAAACTTGTCGGAGAAAGAAGAGGGTAACATAACTCAAGGATATGAGTTTTATTTTATTGATGAGTATAATTAATTAAGGGGCATCGCATGCTGCCCTTAGCTTAGTTTACTTGCAAAATAGATGCTTGTTTTATGGTTTTCTGTAAGAAAAAATGTGAAAGAGTTTATAACCAAATATACATGTTTTGAGACCAAACCATACAGCGGTTGATGAATTAAGCATTCCAGTTACTGAAGCTGTGTGTGCCTAGCTTCTGTCTCTCACTTGTTTATGCACTGTTCATGCGGGTACTGCTTCCGCAACCCAAGTTTCTTCCTTCTCTTGTCTATTTGTATCTCAAATAAAAACTCTCCACCTTCTCTTTAATCATTTTAATATAAGTATTCTATCAAAAAACATAACTCAAGGTACATAAGTACTCTTATCATCTAACCGAATCCCAGCGGCAGAGAGAATCACTAGCGCACAAAAAACAAATCTTATACGGCATAACATTTACCTTGAGCACGGATGACATTATCCGTAGTGCTCAAATACATCCTCATCTCTTTCACCTATTTAAAATACACAGAAATTAGCTACAACAAACTAATTAAGGGCTCGTTTGAATGTGCTTTTAAAATGACTGAGAGCACTTTTAGAGAAAATGTTTTTGGGTTCCAAAAGCATCCAAAGTGTTTTCTACAAGAAGCACCATTTATGAGCTTCTTCAATGAAGCGCTTTAAGTGCTTTTCCAATATTTACTAGAATTTTTACTAAAAATTGTTTTCAATAATATTTTCACCAAAAGCACTTTTAATCATTTTAATAGAACATCCAAACGAGCTCTAAATCAAACTGAAACACAAAAATATGGAAAATTTAACCGCACCAGCACTTGATGGTTAAAAAGTCACTCTTCACGAGCGTAACGATCGAATTCAAGCTCGCAGCCTGCAATGCAAACACATTCAGAGCTTCAAAACCATCCTACACTAATTCAAACTAATGCAAGTACCAAAACTTATTAAATTCGAAGCTCCCAGATAACAAAAAAGATAAAAAGTTGGGCAAAAGACTGTTTACTACTCTCATGTTTCGTGGTTTTCAACATTTAGTACATCAAGTTTTTTTCATCTCAGAGTCATAAAAGTATTAATTTTGGCACAGTCTCATACATCCGTTAGTCAAACTGTTAAGTCTGCAGTTAATTGATGATGTGACACTTATGTGGGCAATGACTGGACGTCATGTGTCATTAAAGGGTCTACGTAAATTTTTTATTTTTTTATTTTTTGAGAAGGGGTTAAAAAATATTCAAGATTCAAAAAAAAAAAAAAAAAACGGTCTTCAACCTCCCCCTCACCCTCCCCCTCCCTCATCCCCCGCACCTTTTCCCTCCATTCTCTCTTCCTTTCTTCCTCTGTCTTTCTCCCTCTTCTGTGAGAAAACTTAGTAACCACCAACCTTTACCCACAACCCAACCCCGTGAGCCGCCGGAAATGGGTCCCAATTGGAGACCGAGAGAGAAAAATGAGAGCCACCACCTTCTCTTTCTTTTTCATCTTCTTAGCAATAAGTTTTAGAGTCTCATCCTTCTCCCTCTTCAAGGCTTCCTCCCTCATCACATCGGCATAAGTCCTCACCAACGGGTCCAGAGTCTTCTCCCCGGACTCAAACGGGTCATGCCGCTTAGGCGATATGATATGGTTCAACCTCCGCCGTCGATAATCATCCTCCAGATCGATAATCCTCTGCGGCTTCTTGAACCTCAAATCCTCATCGGCGTCGCCGTCTCTCGGCCTCTCGTTTAGCACCGACTTGGGGGCCATGAACGACGCCGCCATCCTCTGAGCAATTTCATTGTCCATGGCCTCTGCGTTGTCATCGTTGTCATTCACAAGGATCAACGAGACATATGCACCCTTGTTGGTGCCGCCGTAGAGGTCTGTGTCAAAGGGTGACGGAGTTGAGGGAGGCCAATTGCTTATCCATCCTCTTCCTCTCTTCCTGCGTCTTCTCTATCTCGTCGTCGGATGCCATGACTAGGGTTTTGGTATTGAGAATTTGGTACTAGGATTTGAGCTGGGATTCAGATTTTAATTCAGGAATTTAGGGTTTTTGGTTACTCAACTTACTGACCGGACTGGGCTGCAGGTGTTTTACATTTTGGGGGAGTTGAGGCAGGCTATGGATCAGAGGAGATGAGAGTTGCAGAGGAGAGAAGGGAGGGAAGATGGGTGGGGGTTGCAGAGGGTGCCGGGGGGAGGGAGTGGTTGGGGAGGTAGAAGACTTTTTTTTTATTTTTTAAATTTTTTTTAATGAGACGTGGTGCATAATCATTGTCCATATAGGCGCCACATCATCAATTAACAGCAGACTTAACAATTTGACTAACGGATGTATGAGACTGTCCCAAAATTAACATTTTAGGTATGACTTTGGGACAAAAAAAACTTGATGTACTAAATGTTGAAAACCACAAAACTCCAGGATTGTAAACAGAGTTTAATCCTAAAAGTTTCATAATTTAATAATAATTTCGATTGATTAATGTTTGATTCCATAATTTTCCGAACAGTAAGGAACTCAAAGTAGCAGAGAATTGTTGTTAAAAAGTTGGAGGAGAAATTGAGTGGGGTGTGAACCTGC